AAGGCTTGAAGGAATTTCTGGTTTACGCTAGGAAATCGGCCGCTGCGAATGTTAACCACAACCTAGGAAATAAACCTGTTAGTTGTGCCAGTGGGACCTAGATTATCTGATACATGGTGAGTCAGCGTGGCTTTGCAGGGGTGGCTCTTAAATTTTCTCCATTTTAGACACCAAAGACATCTTCCACTGGTAAGTAATGCTGGTGACTTAACGATGCGTGCACCAGCATTTATGGTCGTTGGCTTGTTCGCTGAACTGGGCAATTTGGTTGCAAACGTTTCATCGCCAACCGAGGTGACATCATCAGTACGTTGTTATGCGTAGCGTAACCCATCCAAACAAGCAAATATGTGCATAGTGAATGAAAATTAAAGTCTATGTGATGGCTACATCCTGGGATGTGAAACGACTTCTGGACCCATTTTAGAGTGCCGAGGCATAGCTGAGACTAGCATACTATTGGCTGTTGGGTCCTTCATTTTTTGACCAATCAGAGCTCAAAATGATGGTGGACTGGCTAATGGCAGAATAGTCACGTGGGGGTTAGGCTAATGGTCATTCGCGATACCTACTGCAGTATACGGTGTCTGCCAGTCTGATTGATCTATATGTAATTATTGATTACTGGGCTTCGGCTCAGGAGCTTTCATTCTGTTTTCCATCCACGGAACTAGTCGTGAACGCAGTGCTCAAAGTACGTAGAGCTATCATCACTCATTTCCGTAACAGACGTTGAAGGCATAGCAGTGAACTCCACACCTAAGTTACACCTTCTGACCTGGACTGGGTCAGACGTGCGGATATAAGCGGCGAGGCCTACCTACACAACATGTGTGAGTGTTAACCTCGACATCGAGGAACGCTGCAAGGAGCCTACAACCACTTAGAACTTGAAAATGCTAATCTCCAGTTCCACTCTGTCAAAAGTAGTTTCTTCGATTTCGGACACAATCGTCGCTCAGAACCCGGACGATCCCTGACATCGAACCGGAAAATCCTGCGTACACCCAGTTGGCCGCGCTGATCGCGGGCGATTCGGGAGTCCACACAAAAACAAAAGAAAGACTAATGCAATCAAACAAGACGCGTGAAATTCGCCACATCAGAAAACTGCTGGCTGGCTCCAAGGTGCAATCCTTTTCTAAAACGAGCTTCATGGGAGCACCAACAGAAGGAATACTTCTTGATTCTGCTACCCAACGCTCAGGATATCACAGAGACACCTTATCGTTCAGACAGCGCCAAACACGCGTGTTTCCCCCGAATCCATTGACAACTGCCAATCCAGTCCAAAAGTTGGTATTGAACGAGCTACAGGTAACAGTGGTCGAAATTTTCGCCCACGGGGAAAAACTACGCCCACCAAAGGTAAAAGGCCCGCGCAAGCCGGGCTCCCACGGGGCGAAACAATCCCTGCAAATGAAAAGCAGCTCTCGGAACCACCAAGACAGGGAGCGGGCAAGTATGCCGCAGAGCCACTCCGGAGCCTTGGCCTCAAACCCGGCGTACAGCCATTAAATCTACTAACCTCTGGTTGCACACCTCGACTCCTCACCTTCGGAGGTAACAGAGACAGTGTTGAAGTGCTTGTCAGCAAACTGCCTCAGCCTTTTCAACAAATTATTAACAGTCGATTCGCCTTGTACGGTCGTCCACAAACGCACTCCCAGAGACCTGGCTCACGCAAGGGAAAATTCCGAGCGAAAGTGGGCTTGACCTACTCTTTTCGGTGCCATCTCCATTTAGGTTTCCCAAGGCTGTTTTGAGACCACTGTTGTTTCTGATATACGTCAGCGACCTTCCATATATTCCTGCAAGTCCATGTCTACCTTTTGCGGAAGAATTGAAATCCTGGAGTCCAAATGCCAGTGCCCTCCAAATGGATGCAGACACTACAAAGCAGTGGTCGTTGGACTGGCACCTTCCTCTGAATGACGAAAAGTGCTTCCATATGTCATTCGGAGGGGACTCAGTGAACGCTTTTGTCGTGTATGTTAAGAATGAACCAAAGGACATCACGAGGATAGATGCCAAAAACGAATTGGGTATCTGGTCCTCCTCAAACATGTCTTTCGCTGCACCATGAGAAATTGGCCAACAAGACATTCGCCGTTGTATGGATAAATCGGCTCACTTCACGTATTACTCTCAAGGGCTTCCAATTACTCTATGGGGCCTACGCCAGACCGCTTCTTGAACATGCCAATCAAGTTGTCTGAGCAATGCGCAAAAAAGAGTTAGCCCTCGTTGAGCGTGTCCAGAGAGTGGAAATGGTTGCCTGCCTTAAGCCCGTAGACCATAAAAGGCGTCTCGCGGTGCTTGACCTCTTTACCCTGGAGTATTCTCGCCTCCGAGGAGACGTAATTATTGCCTATGCCCTGTTTGAAGGTTTGAGCAATTGTTTGCCGAATTTGGTTCGTATGTCGGATAAATCTAGCTGGGCTGTTTTGAATCTCACGTAGCATCTTGACGCGCGGGCAAGTTATGTGTCCAGGTGTCAACCTACATTTACTACGGGGACAAAGCAGAACTCTCTGGCCTTCTCTAAAGGCATGCGCGATCTGGCTGTAACGCCGATCGAATGGTCTCTTAATCCTCATGTGACGATGTTCCAACTGCATTCTTTCCGACCCCATTGTTTCATTCAGTGTTCATCTACCCGTGTGCTACCATCTCCTTAGTTGGTGATGCTCTACCAACGAAATCAATCTTAACGTCGCTTGATATGATGGCAAGAAGCTTCGCGAAGTACACTCTGTAGGCTGCTGACGCGCATGGTTTAGGGTTCCCACGAACCTGGCCATCAAAAAATCGCTCAGCCGTAACACTGTGTATAGCTGCTGGGTTGCTCAAGCCTATGCGGGACCAGTCGAGGTGCATAGGTTGGGTTTGAACCACGTTGTTCAGCTGTAACACCTTTACGGTGCCTAGTTAACATGACACCCGAAGGAAGCACGAGCTGAGATACTGCTAAGTTTCCCAAGTCTAGACATGGGAAGTTGAAATGCATAGACCGGGTTCAAGCTACGTAACTTCCGGCCAGTAATTTCCCGCCTAAATCATCGTGCTATCTTAAGCTAAATCGGTCGTTTAGCTGATGTAACAGTGGCGACTGCTTACGGGTTTTGCTGATGTTATTGTCACTTCAAATAATTTCTCGTTTCCTCTCATAAAGACTGTACCCGCACAATGAATGCCTCATTTACGATTGTATAGCTATACTTTGCCGCTGTGTCACTTTTGGTACCACTGATGCGTCGACAACACTCGCGTGCATGTAGAAATCGCTTGAGTCGCCGGAGACTACATAGTAAAACGTCATGTCTTAGGCAAATACGGATTGTAACTGGAACAAACCCTTAAGAACACTGTTTCAATGCACATGAAAGGACACATAATTACATTTTCTATACATAATCCGGCGGAGCCTTTAACAAATTTCTCATAGAACAAATGAGAAATCGAAAGATTCTGGTAATATTGATATTCTATGGGTTGTCAACTCCGATCATCATAATCACTGACAACACAACATCAACGTTCAACAGCGATGCTTCGCTACCGTACAATCACACCTTATTTGAAAGCCTTATTGTGAAGAGAAGGATAAAAGCGGGTGGGGAAGGACATAATTTTATTCCAACACAATCATTCCGACTTGCCTACTTCCATCTGACCATTAATTGTCCACCCCACAGTTTGCGCCATTCCGGAGGAGGCAGCGAGAACAATACTCGTCTCCGTGAACGGTGTTTCGGCATGCGTAGCACATGGTCGAGCCACCGCAATTGTTGGTGCAAGATGATTCCGCGATTGAAGTTATTGCCGCATAACCAAATGTCCGTTTTCGAATAGTACGGCAGTGAGGCATCAGTGCCTACACTGATGTTGCTGTCTTTGATGATGATGACTTTGAATTATTCCTTTACAAATCCGTTGACACTATCCGATACCAACAACGCTTCTGGGATGTTCGTGGGCGCAAAATGAATACACTTCACACAGAGGTCATGACTCAACCACATATGAATACGGACCTTATAGTGGCCTAGTGCACACAGCCCTTGAGACGCAGTGATATGAATTTTTGACGCCACAAGTGACAAATTAGAAAACGTGATTCGGGCCTTTGAGGTTCGTGCACTGACTTCACCAGACATACTTCCATCAAAGCCAACACAACCACTACAACATCTAGTGCCTCTTGAATTGTGAGGAAACTGTTCGGAGAGTGCACGTTTTGAAGCATCAAGCTTGATTTGAGATATACACTCGGGCACTTTTGGGGTTGGAGGGGGCTCCATATTTGCAGTCCACCTTTTTGTTGAAGGCCAGGATTCCATATTTGTGATAGCAGTTGGCTAACTGAGTTCAAAGTACGATACCCACCATTCCAAACGATCTCCTTTGCTGGAATCCAGAGAGCCTGCTTGGTCTCCGGTAGTTTGACTGACGAGGGATTTCTGGGCACCAGAATCTACTGGAATCGCCTGCGGACTTTTCCAGCATTTTTTCATATTCCATTTTTTCGGCACTTCGGACACATACATTCAGTTTTACCTGACGTCGAGTTGAGTTTTGGCTGCAGCCAACGGGAATCAACCACTGGACTTTCAGCAAAGCCCAAGCCTTACCACAAATCCAATGTTTTGGTGAGGTTCGCTGGGTTTTACCGCAATCAGGTCCGGCTTTGAGTAGCGCTTTGGGTATCTGCTTCATGGTCACCACCATCATCATCGTTGTCAGCTGTAATAACCGCGTGCTTGTCGTACGTTGTTTGTGGGTACCACAGTTTCGTTCACTGATGATTCGAGGATGTAGGGTAGGTAGCTGCGCATTTCAGGCGGGAGCTGATAAATTAGTGCGTAAATACAGAACTGTAGGTGGGCTGTCAAGTGGGGGGATTGGGAAGGGAGCTATACATTGAAGGCATTAGCTTGGATGCATGGGCGCCATTGAGGGCACGACTGGGTCATGTCTGACAATGTCTCTAATCCTTGATGTGGTCCGTCTCGGGGACCCCATCCAGGAAGACGGCAGTGACCAGCTCAGCTGGGTTTGCTGGTAATGGCTTTCATACTTCGCTGCCAAGTCATTGTTTGACCGCCTCTGGCTCTCTTCCACGTGGTTGTGGGAAAAGAGCCCTTCGAGGAATTCGGTCGACTGGCGTATACAGCACGTGGCCAAGCCAGAGCAATCTATGCAGTGTGACCAGTTCATCTGTCGAGGGTGAGTTAATTCTCCCGAATACCATTAGACGTACTTCAACATTTCTGATCCGGTGTTCCCACCAGATTCGGACAATGCTCCGAAGACATCGATGGTGAAACACTGAAAGTCTTTTGACGTCCTCGGCGCGCAGCCGCAGGATTTCTGATCCGTATAGTAATATGGAACACCCCGCAGCATTGTTAACTCGACCGTTAACGGAGAAGCTGATATCACGCCTACACCACAGGTAACGCAGGTTCACAAAAGCTGATTGGTTCACAAAAGAGTTTGATGGTGTTTACTTCATTTTACCTGGTTTTGCTTCATACTTCTGCCAGTGACGTGGAAGACAAGACCCTGACAGTCTTTGATAACCACTATCTTCACGTAGCACAGGAACATTCGTACCCGAGCGCCAAGGTTTCGCATTGAGATTCCACTTCCTATTCATTTCCTCGCCACTTCTAGTTTCTCGTGCAATTTTCGAATTTTGGCTACCGTGCCGAATTCTTCATTTTGCTTAGAACCGCTCGAGTGTGGGACGATGTTCCACGCTCTTTCTCTGTACCTTTACAGTCTGATTGAAAATTTCGCTCACATCTTACGGATGTGAGCGTCCATTCGATGTTCATGTCTCAGTGTGTCTGTTTTGTGACTTCTGTTCTATCTTAATCACCCCTACAGGGTCCTCTTTCTTCAACCCGCATGGCTTATGCTTTCTCCAATGTGGTTAGCTTCCACTGGTACCTTGTTTGTCTTCCAAGTTTTTTTATTGGTATGCCCACATTTCAGTCATGTCGTGGTCAACTTTTGCAGATTGAATACTTCAGTGACAATGTCTTATGATATCCAGTGGTCTCCAAATGATATTAACAAGTTCATCCTTGTTTGGAAGCACGAGATATACCTATTTTCCATTTCTGAAAAGGGACTGCAGCAGGTGGAAAATACCGAAAATGGTAAGAATATGCTGTTGGAACTTCCACTTTCTTAGTATTTCACATAGGAAACGAAATACAGTTCAGCGTATCGATCCTTGGAATATGGAGAAACGTCGTCCCATCCCAGGTATGCTGTCGCTGTCGGAATTCTAGATTGCACAGTGCGTGGCATGGTTGTCGACGATTGATGATCGAATGTCAGCCGAGGATAGCAAGTATCATAACTTGCTCGCTGTATGCATGGCAGGTGGAGATATTAAACTTCTTGGGTTAGTTTACTGTGATTCTGTAGACGTCGTTGCATAGGTTGCAAGCTTACAGCCCAACTTCTGATCCATTCGGCTTACACAATAAAGAGTTCGGTAAGTCTTGAATCCCACTCAAATGATTGTGGATTTACAGTCTCTAGAACTCCAAGAACTTCCTTATACTTGGCATGGAACCCTTGGAAACGGAATCTGGTAGGTTCTTCATCATTATCTCTGCCTGAAATCCACCGGAACCTTCCGGACCGAATTTCACAACCTGCTTTCCGTGCGACTCTGAGTTCAGTAACATAGATATCTTCAATCTGGTCGTGAACGGATGACACTGCTTTTTGACAGTATACTTTACTCCAATCCTGACAATATCTTCATTCTCATTGCAGTTGGCTCAAGGGGTGGAGAAAAATCGTGCTGCCCGAGATCCATCAATTCTCATTTGGGACATCACGAAGTCCACAGATGGCCGGCGTTCTAGCCACGTCAGCACCACTGGTACTGAATCTGCCGTTTTTCCTAACACTTTTTATTTGAAGGCGCAGCTGCCGTGGATCCCAGCGTTCCACCTCCATCCATGCAGAGTGCTAGACTTGTCACTGTGCATACATGCCCCCAACTGAAAAACGCTGGCGCTTCGTCCGAGGTAGTTGTATGCGAACGATCAGTCTGTGATTTGGGTAAGGGATTTCGATTGGATTTTTTGGTGGCTTTTTAATCAAAATACTTTGTCTGTGTATTGGCTCTCAGTTTGGATTTCTTGGAATATATTTCGTTCCACGACCATTGTCATCGAGTCAGTGCATCAAAAATAACGTTAAGATGATGATCACTGAGAGGATGTCTCGTCTGGGAATAAGTTTCAGGACTGGTTGGTTCAGTCTTCTATTCGTTATTCGTGGGTCCGTTTCATTTCGTGTTTGGTTACCACCTTAGGTAGGTGCATTCTGCAACACGGAGTATGAGTCAGCGCTGACCAGGTTAATGAGGTATGTAATCTGTTTCATTTGCATTTGTTCAATCTTCGTCCAGTTTCCCCTTCAAGCCTACAGGCAGACGGAAGCCCTGCCTGGCTAGGGTTCGCTCAAGTGCCTTGGGAATTAGCGACGAATCACTGAGGTCTCATTGATATCAATGTGAATGTCTTGGTTGAGTGTTGTCCGTCATCTCAGAGTAATTTACCCACCAACTCTGTATTGTAATAACACGGAGGACCCATGTGTTTTAAGAGCTTTCGTCAGTATTCAAAATTACGGTTGATTGGATAATCTTGCCCACATGTATCATTATGGTGTGCGGATGTCAACCCGCTTTCGTTTTTTTTATTTTCAGGGACACAAGAGTCCACTTCGTCCTTTGCATGGTTATCAAAAAGCTCTTTCATAGCTGGGATGTCTGGTTTATACCTAAAAGTCTTTGATCTGTCGGGTAGGTCAACAGAGTACCTTCGGTGTCCTATGCTTTCCATAGCCGTACTTCGCCTATTAGCAAACTGGTTGATTTCAATGCATGTATACACTTCCCAGTTGGCTCAAAATTCACCCCTCAGTACGTAAATCTATCCTTGATTTGATGTGGTCAGAGTTGGAGGAGTTGCGCTCTAGTAGGTGGCAAAGCAAACATAATTTGGTTACTTCTGAAAAGTACCCCTGTGGAAATGACGTAATGTCGGCCCAATGAAACAATCTTGGCTTTAGTTACTTACTGAGCCCTAATAAGCTCGACCACTTTATGGTAACTGGCCCATTTGGTGAGCTGCCCAGGATGACTGTCATGGACTAGGGCCGCGCAGTAAGCCCAATCATCTTCAAAATTCTCGGTTCACAAGCACACAAACTCGAAAAGTAGTTCAAGTGCCTTTGCTAGGTGACTGCTGGCCACAGTACTTTACTAAAAAATTCACGGAGTTCTAAATCCTGCAAGTACCAAACAAGCTGAAGATCCGAAACGAAAGCAGTCAGATCTCAAGCCCGGGTGATCCTGACAACAGCCAGAAACTCGGAAATCGGTTTTGATACAATGTGAGCGAATCCCCCATACTATTATGGTCTTTTATTATCGCATGAAGTTTTCCGTGGTCATCAAAAAATGCACCGTCCATTCGGCTTATCGGCTTGCGGGAGCTGGAAGCCTCTGTCTGTTTTTTCGTACGTAATATCTTGTGAAATCTTCACGGATTATTCTGCAGATAAGCCGACTTCAACAGATTTCGTTCCGAGCTTCAGTTCTTAACTTGGAAGTGGTACACCACCAGTCGGTCTCACTTTGTCCCAGTCAGGTTTGTCAAATGAAGATTGTTGTTGACTGAACACAACTAATGTTGAAACACCCTATTTGCTAGAAATGACCGCAGGCACTCAGTAAAAATGTTATTCTGTTCTGTTTATCACCTTATTTCGTGTGACTTTTTAGCGTGAAATGTTTTCAAGCTTATGAGAATAGATAATACGGTCGACTTCGTCGTTCTTGCTTAGCACTGTTGGGGATGTAGGCTGTGTACGCCTGTGCACGATATTGACCACAGGCATAATCATCATCATCATCAAAGACAGCAACATCAGTGTTGCCACTGATGCTTGACTACCGTACAACCATAAGGTTCATCTAGTTTATATATATATATA